GTTGTTTGTTCGCGGCTGTTTATTTGTTGCGGTATGCCACAACTTATTCACAGTTAACCTTCTTCTGTGAAGGTATCCCCCTATCCACAACCCGGGGGACGCGCCTGGTAGCATTCAGCTCTGCTTAATCCGAGGGTATCCAGGGTTCTCTTGGGGCAACTGACGGGAAGCACAATAATACATTTAGTACTTACGTTATGCGGTCAGCGCAACTGAGAATATGTGCTTCAACGCATTTTCTGACTGAACAGTAAGATCACGTGATACTAGGCGATTGGGTCCTCTCAAGTACGCAGATTCACTGTGAAACACGCTGGCAATGCACACCTCATTTGCAGCTCAGACTCGACAATACATCGATTGCTGGAACCCAAAGACAAAAGCTGACTTCGAACAGGACAAACAACAGCAACTCCAAGATGTATACGCAAAAAAAATGTGAGAGTAGAGCAACACGTTCGAGGACGCACATACCTGAACGCATAGACACGCTGATGCCAGGCCAATTGACCTCGAATACTGTACGCGACTGCGGTCACGAATTCTCCTCCCAGACCCAATTCCGCGCACAAGCGACTGGCAAATAGTTCCGGCGAATTCTCTGGCTCCGACAAATCCCATTCAAACTGATCGACTAGTGAGGTGTTGCCAACATGGATATTGAGACGAATGATTACCCGAGTGTCGGTCTGTCCAGCCAACAGATAGTCTACTGGATGAGCTTCAACCTGCATAGGAAGAAGGAAATACGAGAGCAACGGAATGAAAAATAAACGAGAAAAACGGATAAGTATGAAAACAGGAACAGGTTCGTAGATGAGTTCTGAATAATGCGGGAAATATTCTCATTTTCATTCTTTTTTATTAAATGGATAATGAAATCAATTTCAGGAAGGAGATATACGCCCAGCTAAAGGGCTGTCACACGACATAGAATTGGTCAAGTCAGGCAATGGCTGGGACATTCGGGCATATGTTCTCTGGGGGATTAAACTGGTGACCTTCATCACACGACCACCACCGCCGAACCAATCACTCTAAAACATGGAAGAAAGTCATTGACAAAATGGGGCTGATATTGGGGTCAGGTTTTGTGCACCTGTCGTCAACTAGGTAATGACTAGTTATTATCACCGAGAAACGTATATCAAGGGGTAAAAAGATGGTTGGCTTGGTGAACAATCCCGGGGATTGGAGCTAATATCAACATAGAACTAGATTAAAAGCCATTTTTTGTTAAAGGATAACCGGAAATGGAAAAAAATACTACAGGATCAAAAGTACTGGACGAAAGCACAACGGTGCCGGGTACTGGGATAATAAGGTTGCTTGACCCCTTCGGGTCAGCTGAACTACACTCAGAGATGCGACAAACACAATAGTGAAGGCATGAGGACGTGGTAATGGGAACCCAGATGTATGTTAAGAGTGTAGCTTCTAGTCACTACATTCCTCAGACCCAAGGTTGAACAACCGATAAGTGGTGGCGACAGCGCTCAAGCGGTTCAATCTTTTGTGACAGGCTTATCCCGGGTTTGGACCCTGTGGCTTCCAACAAACTTGGACAGCACACTGTTCTGTTGTCACCCCGGTCAATAACGCGTTTATGGTAGTGCGGCTCAAGCTTTCGGTTCTCTCAGATGAATAATTAACCTTCAAGACTATTTGGCCTGGTAGTTTTGTTGTTAATCCCACAGCAGTATACAATAACAGCGCGACGCAAAACAGACGAAAGTATGCATAAATGGACATAGGTTTACCTGTTGCTTGATAGCATTTACAATGGCCGGGACGAAACTGATCGGGTTCAGATCGAGATCATCGCACAAGACCTCGGCCATCTGTTCCGGTGTGATAAGCAATTCGTTCCGATTCCAGGTGAAACAATCGCGCAACTTGACACCATCACATTCGATATCTAACCTGATGGGGACCAGACATTCCGGTTGTCGAGCGTTCTCGTGAAACGCCACCGGGTCTGAGTCATCCAGACAAAATGGGAATGTGAATGCCTTGCTAGTCTGACGTGCTGAATGGGAGAGAGCGGAGGGGCGCGATTAAGTGACTGTTGGCTTCTCAACACGCTAGCATACAGAGAAATGTGAGGAAGCGAACTTCACTGGTNCACAAAACCGAACGCAATTAACAATGAGTGAAGCGGCTGCGAAGTGGGTTTGTTTTGAAGTAAATGGAAAATAAAATGAACCTCTATGGTCAAAACACGCTGCATAAGCACAAGCCAATTGTACATACAGAACTTCTTAAGTATTCGGGTTTGATAAGAAATGACAACAATAACTCCAATGCTGTCCGGTTCGTTGTCATATCCTTCAATTTCCCCAACCAACCAGCTACACAGACTGTGGGCTCTAGCCTTCGAAAAGAGAGACATCATTTATTCAACCCAAAGGAGCAACTATAAATCAGGCCTAACGAAATAGACGAGCACTGAGCATGCGCATTACGTGTCCTAACCAGTGAAACCTAGTCAATCTAATTCGGTGGGATAGTGAATTTTCTAACGATTTAACTCCAAGTTAATTACCCATTCGATAATTAGCCAACCTCACTGTAACAACAAGGGCTAGGAATGTCTTTCTCACAGACCGTCAGAGCAGAATTTGCGCGCACTAAAGTGCTCGGAAGGGTAACATGAAAAGTGTACCAACTACATTAAGTATGTTTTACTAACTAAGAGATTTATTTGTCATTTACTCTCAACGGGAGCTGTCAACGGAGGTCTAAAACAACTAAACCGGAAGAACAACACACACACACATACGCGCAACATACGCGAAATTCCTTAAACATTCTATGACAGTTCTTAAGGCAATCCTAACGACCGTCCGTGAAGTATTTGGATAGTTTAGGCGTGGTTGTTCAAGCAAATGTTCAATATCGGTCACTAAACATGAGCCCTAACAGCTGCCTTTAGCCCAAAAACTAAGCGGCCCACTTTTTTTGTTCTTCCACCGATGATTTTGGCGATCGGGTAATTGTGAAAGCAACGATAGGCTGAACTGTACCAGAAAGTGAACCTAATCACCAAGTTAGAACGCTTGATAATAGGAGCCAGCTGAAGTCATCTCTGAACAGAAGTTGTACTATTCAAATTTTTTCTCACTTATAACCATTCTTTTATCCGCCATCTGATACACCTCGTTGATGAATTACCCGAAACAAGCTCGTAACTCAACTTATCAATCAATGAATCAATATACTCCACTTGCTCCATGTGAAAAATTTAGTCATCCAAAGACAGAATCGCGGGACTATGTTACAGTGATGGTATCTTAAGTATCAATATACTTTCTTCTTTTAGGATGCACTTCTGGTTTACACAACCAAGTGAGCCATGGCGTAACAAGCATGGAGAGTACCAAGGTGATAGAGTATTTCACAAATGACGCTCGAAAATTGTATCTTCACTTTGAAACTAGACAAACTAGACTGGATTGAACGTATCCAGGATAGTGTGAAGCGGGATGATGCTGGTTTGTCTCGTGCAACAAACTCCTATGAAACATCAGGATCATTATAAAGCCGGCTTATCCTCGCCAAGGAGTCAAATATCTTAAAATGAAAGTGAAAAATACAGCTAAATGCAACCTGCAGGGTAAAACGGTGACAACGATGATCCTTTGGGTTCAGTTTGTACAGTTTCATGCGACGGTTTTGATTTGGGTGCCTATTTGAATGAAGCAGTAGGAGAAAGATAGTAGAGTCGAAGAGAAAATGGAGGACGATAATCTTAGTTGGCTTCGAGCCAGATTCGTACAATTCACACTGCTTTGACGGACAGTTACGGCATTACTTTGCAGNTGCAGACATCGATTGTAAGGTGAAAACCAACTACTTCCTCAAACCTCGTCACTGGCTATCCGTGATGAAACAGCACGCACTTTCACATAGCTAATCCATTAAGCGGTCGTTTCTCTATCCGCAATAAGCATCAGAGATGTAACGTGTTAACGCCATGGAAAATTCCCGTTAGATATTCCAAATCACTCGTAAATCAGGGGGAAAGCACTAGCAGTGAGTGTTTCCGAAAGCCTCTGTATGATCGGGGTGGGGGTGCCGCGCGTTGAGCTGGTCATCCTTTCCTTGCACCTCACGAAATGCTTGTGTATGACCAAGCTTCTCAAATGACCTCTGCTGGGGAAGACTTACTCACTATCTTCCATAGCGAAGCTGTTTCCTCACCAAAGTGAGAGAACCAAAAGCCAACCGGGTCGGCGGACCCCTGGCAGTTCATCTAGGGGAGTTAGCTAAAATCTCTGATTCCAAACCTGCCAAGAGGCAAACGAACCACACACACGCTCACGCCTTCCTGGTTGTGCCAATGGNTGCCAATGGTCATCGGCTCGACTGGGTATCGAGGAGTATTAGGTACCTTGGAAATTTGGCACCTTCCAAAGGGCGCATGACCCGATGCACCGGACACCGGCCTCCAATGGATTGTGGTTTTCACACACCGCCCCATAGCCTTACGAACCAGACCACTGAGTGTAACTAAAACTATCTGCGACGTCGTGCGTATTCGGCGGAGCACTTAAGAGCATACCTTAAGATTCTGTCACAGATATTTAGCGTATACCCCGTGGTTGGTTTAGACATTTGAGGAGGAGACCCATCTGGAAATCCAGGTTCAAAAACATCCCAAATGCTGAGCTCCGATAGCCCTCACCAAATTTAATGAAAGAGGACAGAATGAGGCCTGTTAAAGAACCGCGTGTTTTCTTCGCCTGAGTTTGGAATACCGAGTACGCCATTATCTGGTAAAAGAAATCTATTGTTTTCTCTATCTTTACGACGGGTCCGTGGAGTGATTACGCAAACCACAGGGGAATAAGCCTAACCCAAATAATTTCAAAGTAGTTAGCAGCTGTTATTGTTCGCGAAAGCACGCTGGGTTTCGAGCCGGTTGTGGATGCATCAATCAACTGTTCACTCTCGAACAGTCACTATATATATATATATATATATATATATATATATATATCACACGTCTGAATCCAGACCATGTGATAAGCAAATCATGGTACAATCATCTATATAAAAAGATAAGGCTCTATGATTTGCGCTTGGGCTGGGTACTGCCAGGTTGCCCAGACCAAGGCAGGTGAATTTTCTTGAGGAATCCATAACTGGGGACCTCGGCTAGCCGAAGCCTGACCCGCAAGGCAGCGGGGCGGTATGTGAAAACCACAACCAACCTTACCGCAAGCACCAGTTTAACGGCGAACTGAGTCGAACACAATGAGAACAAGGGACAAAAATGGTCGGTGGAGAAGAACACATATAAATGAACGGATACAAGCAGAAGACTGCCACTTCACAAGCACTGATGATGAAACATTTGCAAACATATTGCCAAGCTCGGCGAACAGGCGAAATAGAATTCGGTTCACCCGAGCTACGAGAACCGATTTTCAATACTTTGTCAACAGCTTGAGGCACCTNCATCTCCATTGTGAACTTGATGCCATTGAATGTGTTATTGATGATGTTGTTTGTGCGTTTGCAAACAAATTGCCACGCTCGGCGAACAGGCGAAATAGAATTCGGTTCACCCGAGCTACGAGAACCGATTTTCAATACTTTGTCAACAGCTTGAGGCACCTTAAGAGGTTGACGAAAGCTCTAGGGAAGTTAGTATCACAAGGAGCGAAAGCCGGAGTAACTACGTGAAACCTGCGACGTTGGTGGTCGCCATGACATTCGGAATATACTGAAGGCAAGGGTTTACATCTTCGGGGTTTATAGTGGTCTACTTTTGAACTACAGGACGTGATTCCTCTGCACTGAGGATTCAAACCGACTGCGGACCTCTTCGAAGTGTTGATCGTGTCTGGTGGAAACATCAACTTAGCGACGAACAAGCCCGTCATCGCGCTTTGGGTGATGAAGGTCTTGAAGAGGAAATAACTGCAAACTAGCTCCGACGACTGTGTACAGTGTCACACTAAAACCGTGATGACTGGCAGACTTATAAACGCAAAAACAGCACACTGAAAGATTGTAATCCCATTCTCTCATTCATTTCATTTACATGTGATAATGAGGCCCAGTTTGGATTGAAATGTTATAATATACATTCTACAACTCAGTGTACGCCTTCATTCTCTTTTGATATAACTATATATACCAATTTTCACAGCTATAATTGTACAGTTAGGGTTTACGATGGTGACGGGAGGGGGCTACGTCCGATCTATGACAAACAAAGTTGGAGAATATGAGCAACGTTGATCGTACCGAAGCTTCAGATNTCGCAGTACCGATGATGTTAACCGCAGCACTACAATGCCCGTAGGGAGTTCATTAAAATATGGTCCACTGAGTTAATATATAGATCCCAAATGCACCCCTAATTCATAGTTTAAAAAAGGATTTCACAAC